AGCACATTGGAATGCCTTTCCTTTTCCATTTTCATTTTTCCCATAACTGTCCAGCCCAAATGTGTGTTTACAGCCACTAATCCTCCTTTAAATGTTTGACCTCGTCTCCTATTAGCAAATTTCCTATTATGTCTGCCCCTAATAACATATGTATTTCATTTGGTTCCCTTTCAAACAAGCAACAATTCTCATTCACGGAAGCGTCACTGACGAAAATTCCATATTCCTTCAATTCATTAATCAATTCCGAATCCTTTAATTTTGGGATGGGTGTACATATTCTTTTTTGATCCATTACTTCTACTTCACAGAAATAGGAATTAAAAACATCACTCAAGGTCACAACATATTTTTTGTGTTTTTCATTACGTTCTATTCCCCCAAAGAGTCCATGAACTGTTGTTTCCTGTCCCACGCATTTTAAATTTAGTTGTTTGGCAATAAATTTAGTTACGTAACTCTTCTGACTTCCGGTATCGAGAATTGTTCTTACTTTTTTCCCTTTTATACACACAATTAATGTTTGCAAAAATACTTCTGTTGATTTAGAATTATTGGAAAGTATAGTATTTTCATCAGTTAAGTTTTTTTCATTATTTTCTTTTGATGAGTCATCGCTAGAAAAACATAATATATCGTGGTGTCTTTTTCCACATAAAGAACATAAATTGTTTAATTTCACTTTACAATCTCGAGATAGATGACGAGCAATTCGGAGACATTTAAAACAAGCACCCAGTTTCATCAAAATATCTTTTCGTTCATTTAAAGTTTTCTGTTTCGCCCAAGGACAAATCGCGGTTTGGTGTGACTCGTGTTTACAGAAAAGGCATGATTCATTCGCATTTTCTCATTTGAACTTGCCATAAAATTCGCCGCAGTTGGAGCAGGGAAGGGTTGCTTTCGAAACGATGAATTAATTTTTTTGTGAGTTATGTTTATAATTTTCAGATTTGAATCGGTTGAAGCTAGGTTGGATTCTTTGACTGTGCGGAATGTATTGGGTTGAAATTGAAGATTCAGTTCTTTCTCTAGCGCTAATTTGTTTATTCAAAATTTCAATAATTCGTCAAGTTTATACTCTGAGCCGTCTGTTTCTTTATTGAATTCGAGAACTAAATCAGAGGGTAAGCAATTTAAAATTAATGGACAGAGTACATTACTAAAACTTTCAAATGAAACATCTAAAGACTCTAAACTTCTTATTTGCGTTTGACACATATCAAAAAATTGGCGCAATACTTTAGTATCATCCGAACGTTTTAACGGAGTTACACTCAATAATTTTTGCATATGAGAGTTGATTATAGCATCTTTTCTTCCAAATCGATCTTTTAATATTTCTACAGCTTTCGCATAATTTTCTGCCGTGATGGCAAAACCTTCCACTGTCGCTAAAGCAGAAGAACCTAACAAACCCTTTAAATAGGTAAATTTGTCAATCGAATTTAGAGAATTATTGTCATGAATTGCGGTTTTAAAAGAGTTCCAAAATGAGAGCCATTGATTAATTTCACCATAAAATTTGGGAATAATTAATTTTGGTAGTTTTACCTTCATTGGTTCTATTAATTTTGATTCTTCAGTTGTTTTGCATGAGTCAGAATCTGACTTAAATTTATTATTTTTCCTAGTTGTTTCTTGGCTCGAAATCGCCAAGTTACGATTTTATCAAAATATTGTTCTACGGCTTCTATTTCTTTATCGATCTCTGTAGGTGAGTACAGGGGTTCACATTCTTTATCTACAATCTTTAAACATTCAAACTTTTGTTCTAAATGTTCTAACAATTCTTCGACTGCTATATCATCCGGTTCAGTTTTTTGTAATTCTTTTTCTAACTGCGAAATGCATTTTGTTACAGCGGTTCTTAGTACGGCTCGTTTCTTTTTTGTAACAATTCCTGCGTCTTCGGTCATTATTAATTTATATTATTGATTCACAAAAATTTCTAAATTTCAAATATTCTTAAACTCTCACGCTCTCTGATCCCGGCAGGGATGCCATTTAATTATGTCAATAATTAATTCTTAGGCTTAACTTCGATTAAGAAAATAGTCAAGCTTACCTCAATTCACATCGGGCAGAGAGCAGTCGTGAGATGTTCCTAGAATTCAAAATAGTAACAAGTTCAGGTAAAAATTCCAAGAAGTAAAACCACATTTAAAGTAACGAGCGAGCCGACCGTAGTTGATAGATAGAAGCTTTATTTACTAACTAACTCAAAAATGGCATTTCTCGTGGCTTCTCGCGAGACAAACTGCGTTGCCACACAACTGCAACTAATCACTACAAAATAATAATTTCAGACAAATTGCGAAGGCTCGGAACGAGGATTCGCGACAGTGTTGTTTGGGTCATTAGGGAAAAAAGAGATTAGTTATTGAGGAAGAAGGACTAATACATAAAACTATAGAGTTTTTTAAGTTCTTTTTATAGCATTTACTTTATCTATATATAACTAATAAAAATATTTCTTTTAATTCGTTTTTTTTGAAGAATGAACTTTTTATAATAATTTGGGCACAAAAAACGAGATATCTTCTAAATAATCCAATCAAATGCAAAGAAGTTTGTAACATATATGCTATGGGCCGTTCAGAGTATATTAAACCGCAGGTTTTAAAACAGCTACATTTAATCACATTTTACAGCCATTTTTAGCTTAAAACATGCAGTAATTTTGACGAAAAATCAGGATCATCAAATTTTAAAAAATGCTCTAATAAAATATTTATTTCTGAAAATATTTTTTATCCTGTTGTTTCTGACACTTCAGTGTTCAAGAAGTATATCAATGACGTTAAAATTGCATAGTGTGCAATTTATTTTAATTTATCACGTTTTTAAATTTTCCTAAAAATATTTTTTTTTTCAAAAAATGGGCGATACATGTTAGTTATTTAATAGTTATGACTTTTTAAGCCTATTTATGTTCTTTAAAACAATAAAATTATTCAGAAAATCAATTTTGAAAAATTTATCTCCGAACCTAGTCGGATACCTTAACAGTAATATGTACATGGGGTGCGACAAAACTAATTTCTGTTTCTGTAAAAAAATAATGTGAAAAAAAAATAGCTTTTTTTAAAGAAGTTTGAATGCAATAGAACAAGGACCAGCAACATGTGGCATGCGTGCCACACGTGGCACGTGGTACAATTTTCAGTGGCACTCGGCACTACTTTACAAATTAGTCAATTTTTGAGTGAATGGAAGTTGATAAATTTGTAATGGACCTTATTTGACAAACATCTACAGAATTACGGACATTTAAGGAATTACGAAAAATTCTGAAAGATAACTCTAAAGATAAATTTACAGCTATTTTGTAAACTATTTAATATTATTGATACATAGCTTTAATTGTTCGAATAAGAAAATGGCATGTACTTTGCTTTTGGCTGTACATATTTAAGAAAAAATTCTCTCCTCACATGAAAAATATTTCAATTCCGCAAAGAAATTGTTTGACAACTAAATGCTCGTAATCGAGTCAAATTGAAAATCACACTTTATACCCCTGATTTTGCGATATGAAAGTAGAGTGGTGCAAGCACTAAGTTCGCATTAAAATTTTTATTTATCTTTTTATTCAGCTGTAATAAAGGGAAATACTTATATTTTATGTTGTCTATTTCTTATTTTAAAAAATACATTTTAAAAATACGCAATATATGTACAATTTTAATTTTTTGATTTTTGTTGAAGAGATAGTAAATTTTATAATGCTTATTTTCATGTTGAGAAATATCTTGAAATGATGCAAAATTAATATATAATAAAATTGTAAAAATACATATTATTGACCTCTATTCTGCATCAAATTGTCATTTAATCTGCATGCATTATCGCGGGAATCAAATTGTTTAAAAAATGACCTTCGGTGTGGCACGCTTAATCATATTGGTGGATAGGCATGGCCCGTCACAGCTAAAAGGTTGCCGAACCCATTATTAGAATATGCTTTCCTCGTGCAGGTTAAGTGGTTCCTAAAAAAGATAGATCAAAATAGGAAAAAGGAGCATTAGAATTCTTTCTTAATTTATATATGAATCACACATTTTCCACTTAATTTACTAAGAACTAAATTTGCAGGAATAATGATAGATTTTAGAAACCCTATTGGTATCTTTGATAGTTTTATTTCATTAAGTCCTCTATTTTTCAGCTAAGTTTCTTTTTGAGAATTCATGAGAAACAAATTTAAATAAAGATTTGGAAACTAAAATCAATCAAAGAAAATTGGTTAGCTCTGTAACCTTTATTCCTCGTTAAATTTTACGCTAAATCTTAATATATTCTAATGGCTTAGCTCGTTTTAAAGCATCCCTTAACGTTATCATCTATTCAAAATGAGCTCACACATTTTAAAGTATTACCAAATTTTCTCTCATATATTCATATACGATCTATAAATCAAATATGAATCCTCTCTTTAAGGTAATGCCGGCTAAAGTAAAGTATAGAATGCCTGACAAATTTGAGACTCTTTTTGAAATTTTATAACAAAATTGTTCTAGTAAACATTTTTTGGATAAACCTCTACGATATTAAATTTTCCTGATAGCTCTTAAGATGGTTTGATGACTTATTTTAAAAACTGCTGACATGTAATTAGCGAAATCATCAACTTTTGTTCTTCATACTTAACTTTAAAAGGCTAAATATGGTATGTGCGTTTTATATTAAGTCATATTACCCCAAGAGAAAGTTAGTTTCTTTCTTTTTTTTTATTTCAATTTTAATAGCTCAACACCTCAGATTATTGTATATATGTCTGATTTTATCCATTCTTTTTTTGAAGTGATACTTCTTTTGGGGCGTTAGAGAAATAGGATGAGGGTGAATTTTTACGATGCACGCGCACACCTTCACAGACGTGACGCAAAACCGTCACGGATGTGAAAATGCTTCGTCTCTAGAAATATACAGAACGTTACAGATCATTGCCGCCTTCGAAATTCTCAGGAAAATATTTCTCTTCACTTCCTTGAAGAAGGTGACACCCGGGTTTGAACCGGAGACCTCTCAATCTGCAGTTGAGTACTTAACCGTTGAGCTAGCTATACACCAGCGTCAGCGAGCCTTTGCTTTGCGTTCCGTAGGAACGAATACGAAAATGCTTTGTCTAGAAATATACAGAACGGGACGGATCATTCACGTCTTCGAAATTCTCTAAAAAAAATATTTCTCTTCACTTCCCTGAAGAGGACATCTGGGTTTGAACCGGTGACTTCTCGATCTGCAGTCGAATGTTCTACCACTGAGGTATACCCCCGCGTCAGCTAACATTTGCTTTGCTTTCATAGGAATGGATAAGAAAGTGATTTGATTAGAAATTTTTAGAACGGGACAGATCATTCCTGCATTCGGAATTCTCAAATAAATATTTCTCTTCACTTCCCTGAAGAAGACGACACCTTGGTTTGAACCAGGGACCTCTCGATTAGCAGTCGAATGCTCTACCACTGAGCTATGCCCTCCGTGTCTATGAACCTTTGCTTTGCGCTGATTTGTGACGTCAATACTATTACGGAGAGATCGTCCTTCGCCTACGGAGCTTCTCTGATGCATTTGTTTGAACACTTTTTGTTATTAAACCAAACATACTTACAGGAAATTAAAAAAGAATTAGTAAATTAATCTTTAAATTGTGTTTCATGTACATAAAACATAAGAGTAAATATTAGTTTACCTATTTAAATAACAATTGCAAGTATATGATTGTAGATGTATTTACTACGAACGCATTGCAATGAACATAAACACATTTATTACATTGTAGCAAATTATAAGAGCATTTTGTATTCGTATATTTATTTTTTAAGTTATCCTTTTATCGGCGTTAGGGAAAAAGGATGAGGGTAAATTTTTACGATGTGTGCGCTTACCTTCACGACACCCATGCGCGCGCGCACCGTTGTCTTATATTTTAACTTGCCACTTTTTTGGTGCTATGGGACTGATATTTGGGGAATCATAATAACTATTGTTATAAACCACATCTGTTGGGACGCATCCCCCCTGTGCATTCCCCCCTCTACAGCTTTTTGGCAATATCTCGGCACCCGAGCGTCACAGTCCATTAGGACCTGGCTCATTCGATCCCTCTCTATATGCTCTTCCAGTTATTATAATTTCATGTGTGTGCCGAGACATTCAATATGAGGTGTCAGCTGTCACATTAGGCTCACTTCATTTCCAGATACAGTCTGATACCCTCCCATGTTATTGGTCCTATTGTCCCTGTGCGGGGGTGTTTAAATTTATTTAAATCGTGATTATCTCAGGTTTAGCTGGTTCAATTGACTGAAGGTTAGTATCGTTCAACTCTGCTCGTGACCGCCTTTCACTCTTGACCCAGCTTGCACTGCTAAAGATTTTTAGAAAGATTTTAATCTTGTTTCGCCAAAGAAGTATAACTTCTTACGTGCGTACATAAGTACACACACACTTTTTTTTTTAGTAGGACATGTTTTTGCAACATTTATTTTACTTATAATTTTGTCAATTTTGAAATGTTTTTTAAAATTCACTTCCTTTATTCTTAGCTTTGTAGAAATTACACAATTTGACTTTTATTATTTTATTTTATTGTACTATATACAGTCGAACCTCCATATTACGAAATTTTTCTCTTGTGATTCATTTTTTTTCTTTCAATTTTTAAAGTTATTTCTGGACATTTCAAGTTTTTCTCTCTTTTAAGTCATTTTATGGTGGTCATAAATCTTGAACTGGTTTTATTAGGTACCTAACTCGCCAAGAGCTATAGCAGGGGTACTCAAACTTTATTCCCCACCGGGCCGCATACACATGTTAGGTATTTATAGTGGGTCGCACACACGACAGGAACTTCACGCGGGCCGCATGCACATGATAGCTATTTCATGCGGGCCACAACATGCGGATAATGGAAAAAGCACATTATAAAACCAAAGCAACATCGATAAACAAAATTGATCAAACTATTAAAACTCATTTTTGGCTTTTAATTTAATACTATATTAATTTTTCTATCAAATACACACACAAAAACATCTATTTTTATGAATTTATACTGTGTTATGGGATTATTTTTATTTTCTTTTATCTATGACCCAAAAAAAGCCTCTTGCTTGCTTTCTATTATTAAAAAAACAAATTAATAACAAAATTGATACCTTTCATTGCTTGATTGATAGAATTTCCAATTCATTTTTTTGTGCATTGTTCTCCAATAATTGAATTTCTTAGTGCAATAGGACATGGTCGGCCCACTCATAAAAAGGCCGTCGGGCCAAGTATCACTGAGTTATAGAATTCTTGGCGTTCCATCAAAGAAGTGCAACACGTACCTCCATTGTCCAGTTCACTAGAAACATCTTCGATAAATAAATAACGTAATAAAATAATGTATGTTTAAAATTACTTGCAGGCTTTAAATTAGAAAATGTCCTTAAAATTCCTTAATTTTAATAAAAAGTTATTTTCTTAATATTGAAAATACAGCATATTTTTCGATATTCTATTTTCAAGTTTTTTTGCAGTTTTATTCCCCTTCTATTTTTTGGTGGATAAGATACATATAAAATAAATAGATAATAATTTACAAAAAGGTGTGAATAATTACTTTTTTAATGCATATATTTTATGAATTTAAAATTTGTTTTATCTCGTTTATAAAGTATATTGAAAGATGAATATCTATATAAAGAATTTTCCATATAACGAACTTTTTTTCGGGATTTAGCGACTTCGTTAAATAGAGGTCTGACTGTATATATATATATATATATATATATATATATATATATATATATATATATATATATATATATATATACTGAGTGACCAATTTATTAGGACCACTTGACACTTCCACAGAGATCAGCTATAGCTACACGCATGAAATAGCTGTTAAGAGAAAATTCAGGAATAGTGAAGCATGAACTGCACTGTGTTTCTTGAAAAAAAAATAGTAGGAAAAAGCATGATTTAGGAGTGTTCGAACGCAAGATGATTGTAGATGCTCGAAACGTCGGAACCAGCATCATCAAATCGGCTGCACTTGTAAAGTGTTCGAGGACAGCAGTTATAAATGTTTACAAAAAGTAGATTACCAAGCAGAAAACTGGATCTAGATTTGTGGTCATTACAGGCTCCTGAAAGTTCACTCGGAAAGGAAAATTACGAAAGCTGTGCAGTCCAACAGAAGAACAACTGTTCTTCAAGTTGCGGAGAATCTTAACCAAGGAGCAATTTCAAATGTCTCTGAACGAACTGTTTGCCTCACATTACACCGTATAGGCTATGGTAGCCAGCCACCTGTTATAAGGCCTTTACTATTTGCCTAGAACAAGAATAGACGTCTCCAGTTCACGCAGGAGCACACGCATTGAACTGTGGATGACTCGAAAAGAATCATATGGTCCAATGAATCACGTTTTCAATTACACCATGTAGATGGCAAAGTACTGTTACGAAGATCGGGGCTTGAGGAATTTATGCAAATCAGTCGTAAAGAACGACAGTTCTTCGGGAGAGATTGAAGTGTTTTGTCGAAAACAATATTTGAAATACATAATATTGTACCCAAATTCGCGGAGTAAATCTCAGAAGGCTTTCACACCTTCTATGGTGCTCAGACACAACATTCAGTGTCTAATATACGAGTATGCAAAAGATTATTCACAATCCCTCGCTCATTCTACACAAAAGCCGTAGTAATATCTAATCACTGGTCGATTCTTCACTGCCAAATCAATATTAACAAACCTTCGGTGAGTGGCTCCCTATTTATGCGCTTCAAGTACCTTTCGAGAAAAATCTGTTTGTGCTATAGATTGTTTCATTAATTGATTTCTCCTGTAATTTTCAGAAGAATCCCAAAGGCAGCCAACTCGGTTAAAATGGTTGTCAAAATTGATGCCAATTTGGCTCTATCGCCAAGATTCCACCAAGTTTCCATTTAATCGCCATTACAATGTAGGGAACGGTGTTATTATGAATATTACAATTTTAACGTCAAAGACCATGGCAGAAACTTTGCCTTTCTTAGTTCGCCTGCACAATCACCAGATCTCAAACCAATTGAGAATCAGTGGGATGAGATGAAAAAAGCATCTGAAAGTATTGGAAAAAGTGCAATGTATCGGTTATACTCAAATTCTTCATGCTACCTACTAACAACTCACAGAATTCATACCAAGAAGGATCCATGCAGTATTAGGGGCAAAATATTTTTCAGTATTGTATTGAAGTGTTGGTCATAATAATTTGCCCAACCAGTGCATACACACACGCACATGCATATACAGTCGGTTTCATTTTAATCAAAAGAAAATATCAACGAGAAATTAAGAAGACAAATTTTTGTTAGAATTTGAATTAAAAATCCAAGTTATTTTTAGAGATATTTTCAGATCTATGAAAAATTCTTTAAATTTGAATGGAACGTCTCTGTGTAGATAAGTGTAATATGTCAACCAGAGGAAGCCTTTATGCTTAAGTAATGTACGTTTTTTTCTAAATCCATAGGAAGAAAATATACTGAAAAAAGAAAAAAGTATTCTCTCAAATCTTTCAGGAAGAATTTAGTTTAGTTATTAATACATTTTTATTACTTTACCAGAATTTTACCTTCTGATAGCTGGAAGCAAATTAGTTTTTTGATAGATAAAATAAATACGTTCTCAAAATCAATTGAATAACTTTGAATTCGAAAATTTGAATAAATAATGAAATGCGTTATGTCAAAATAAAAGAAATTTGTTAAAATTAATTCACTTCAGTTCTCATGAGTTTTTAAGGGGCATTTTAAACATAAAAATATATATAAAAAGAAATAAGGTATATTCTAGCATAAAAAGTTTTTTGAACACAAAACAAATATTCGAATTTCTCTTCCGATTGCAAGCATTTTTATTCGAAAACAAAATTCGTTTTATGTCGGTAAGAAAAAAGGATTAGATTTCGGAGAGAGGTATTTGATCTCTTTTATATTTATCTTATTTCAATTCATCTTTTTTTTTTTAAATACTAATGTTATTCTTCGTGTGATTTCGTGAGTATTATGTATATACAGGGCGAT